CTATAAGAAATTGTTTAAAAAAAGTAATAAATTGGGCTTTATCTCCTAGGCCACTTTCTTTTTGCTGCTGCTGCAAACTAAAATGAACAAATACATATGAACTATAAGAAACAATGCATTCACATGAAAGGGCTGTGTACGGGAAAAATACATATCATTAAAAAATGAAACCAGATACCTAACAAATGCAAGTTACTGTTTTCTACTTGGCGCATTAGTTCCATTGTGATGCTGCTGCACCTTTTTCTGAAAGACACATAACAAAGCCATAATCTTTTACCTGACCTCTCTTGGTCTTTGACTTCTTTTCCAGTGGAAACAGATTTGGATGCCTTCTTTGAAGGTGTGTGAGTATCAGGCTAGTTTTCAGTGTTTTAAGTGAATACTTTTTAAACTAGTAATAGATGTCATAAAGCAGTAAATATTGTCCAGTGTTCATTTATTTAGCAGCTAGTAAGACTTTGCATTTTCAATGCCATATTTCCTTTTACCATCTTTGTTAAGGCTCTAAGTTAAAAAAAAAATAATCCTAAAACTCCATTTGACTTAAACTTTACTGGGAAATTAAACAAGTGCTTAATTTCTGTGCAGAAGAAATGACCAACCTGATCAATCAGATGTTAAGTACTAGAAGAAATAAGTCTGCTGAAAGGATTAGCAGTGACAGTGGGGATCAATACAACTAAAAGATAAGACTTTTAAAGATACCTTTTATTCACTTCATTAACGTCATAATAAAAGTCCCAATCAACTCTAATCAGAATTAGAAACACATAGCACTTTTGAACAGCTAAATCTAAATCAAAAAATTTCAATACTCAATATCAAAAGCATTTCCTTAACAATCCTACAGTAATAGAGTAGGAAGATTTATTTAGGAAGTTATTTAATAGGCTTATTTTTCCAGCTTCTACTACTATGATTTCTAAGAGTTGTAATCAGAAACAGAAAATTTGGATCAATTTTCCCTGTAGGTGGACAGGGGACAGTCACTTCATACCTTTTTAATTGAGAAAAAGCAGCACACTTATTTGCAGTGTGTTTATCTCATTTCATAAAGGTCCTCAGCACAGCAGCAGTCCAAAATATTTCAGTGTAGCTAGCTGTGTTCATCTATTTTAAGCTTCTCTTCAGCAAATAAATGGAAGACATAGAGATGATTACTTTCAAGAGAGTTACCAGCACTGTACCTCTAAGTGAGCTATTTTTTATATTTATTACTTTAGTTACATTTTATGCACGTACATTACCAAATGATAGACTGTAAATTGGAAATCAATTTAGAGATACATTGCTTTCATATTCAGTGAGAAAATCATGGATTTTCAGATCAAGACTTGGCAGAGTCCATTGGATCACATGCTAAACCATTCTAATAGAAAAGGTATTGATTTGAAATCCTGAAACTTTTCTGCTTTAAAGTGAGCTACAGGATGATAAAAGTGAAGCATAAAATAAAACTTAAGAATGATCAATAGTGTGTTTACATTGAATTGGAAGACACTACAGGAACATTAACAAAATAAAACTACCGAAGCTTTCAGATGTAGGGCATCAATTCAATCTCAATTCAATGGTCTGGTCACACTCTGCTATAGTATCCATCAGAATAGCTTTTACTCTCGGTAAGAGGGTGTTCACCCCCCTTTCTTGAATCCTCTTCCCTTTTTTGCCTTCACATGCTTGGGATTGAGCCATATTGTTCTCTTACTCTGGAAGCAGGACTACCATAGACATCAAAGATTTAGCATCCTACTGGTCCCGCTAAGAACTGAGCATCTGTATTTTTTCTTTTTTAAAACTGTACTTGGTGATGAAGTAGGCAATGTCTTTATTAAAGCAAAACTTTTTTAATTTAACAGATGAAAAAAAGCCACCAAGGAAAAAATATTTTTAAGCCATTTAGAAACTTTTAAGTGCCTGTTTAGTTTCATTTAACCAACTAAACTAAACATACACTATCAAAATGAAATTAAGAGTTCTTAAATTACATGAACACACAAAAAATAATTTATTCTGATCTCACTTCACTTATTAGAACATCACTTTTAGACAATTCAGGGAAGCTGGATTTTCAAACAAATGAAAACCTGCTACATTCTCCCTTTGCATTGTAACTATCATATTATTCAATGGCATCTGAAACAGGAATTTGTTTTATTTCCGGTCTCTTTTTTTTTTTCACCCTCAATTTCTCCAGAGAGCTGGCCTGTACATCTAGGATATTTGGATGTCTAGGATAACCTCTCTACAGCATTTTCTTCATTGTTTTGTAGTTAGAATCCTTCAGGTAAACAACCTGTAATCACTAGCCTAGAGACCACCTCCTCTGAATGTTTTATGTCACCCTCTGAATCTTCACATTGTGCCTAATAAACTACTTACCAGATACAGATGAAGGTACCTGTCACTGCCACTGCTCTATAGCGTTTGTCACAGTGCCCAAGCACAAAATAATTAAGCGTGAAGAGAGCACTCCAGCTCATTTCTATGTGTTCCAGAGAACCCTGATAAAGTGCTATACTGCAAAATGCTCTGGTATTATAGGGAAGATGTATAGGAATCCTGAAGATGATCTCACATCCCGTATAACAGATGCTTCACAGCAGAAGTGATAACGACATGTCTAGCAGAAGCAAGCTAGCACTAAAAATGGTATAATTATATTAGGCAGAAGCAACTCGATGTTAACATGGCTAAACTACTGTCTGTATGATACAAGCTCATATCACCACAACATATTCTATTGTCACGTGAGTGACACAGCCTGAACACAGCATTAGCTCAAGTCTGTCTATATTATTGTTTTTCAGAACAGACATGCTGAACGACAGCTTGGTAAAACTGGAATAACAGTAATTCCTTACCTCTCACCCCTGTCCTTCCCTTTACATTGCGTGCTTTTTGGAGCAGCACTTCCATTCATAAAGATAAGTGCATTGTCTAACATGGCACGGATCTGACCATGGTTAGGAAGGCACAACTGCAACATAAACTTACAAGATACAAAGTGAGTCAGATGCCCCCTACCAAGGTGACATTAAAAAGGGAATTAAATATCCTCAGCCTTACTAGGCAATACCATTATAGGAAACAGCAGTTCTGCTCTTCCTTTAGCATAAAAATAAAAATGTCTAATTAAAAAAAGTAGAACCACTCACTAGCTGGTAGTTGAAACACATTTACACCTTTGAGGATTTGATCACAGCTCAGTCACACTCACAGCTTAGTTTGACAAAAGTTTGACCATACACCTCCAGTGGACCATCTCAAAAGCCAGTCTTTCCTGCTTACAATACTTAGAACCCTGCTTTTGCATTTCATAATAGGAATCTAGCAATTGTTCATTTTGTTTCCTACGAAGGGAGATCACAACTTTTATATGAGACTAGATAGAAGGTAGATTGTTTTGCTTTATTTCACTTCCACGTCATTGTGTGTGGTGCATACATAGCTCCTCATGTGACTTTATGTCAAGCCTCAGAAAAATTAACTGCTGTATAATAGCAAGCTAGTACCTTAGTATTCCCCTTTTTTTATTTTCTGATTTTCCACTTATATTTCAAGCTTATGCACAGTCTTTTGTATGCTACCTTGGAAACTAACACTAAATTACTCTGTTACAAGCCTAGAAAACCCCAGCCACTTATTTATGTTTTTATAATGTGTAGAATTCGAAGTGTGCAATTCCCACAGTACAGTCATAATGATTGTAGAAAGTTATTATGGCACACTCATTCTAGCGCTTAATAGGCATTAATTTATTAAAACATGCTAATGCAATCACAGGCAATCATCTGACCATAGCCCTCTTCTTACAATGTAAGCTCTTTGCAGAAAGGACTTGGTCTGCAGAGCACCGAGTAGACAGGCATTGCAGAATGTCGGACCCTGAGGACAGACTGGGGTTCTTTGGTAAGACAACAATACAAAGTAATTAAAGATGATAATTATCTGGATAATTAAAAACCTTCTGTATCTGTGCTCACATTGGACCTCATGCACTAAGGTACAGCTATCAGCCCAGAATTTATTTATTGTATATATTATATTAGCATACAGATACATTTATCCGATGAAAACAAGACTTAAGGATTAGTTTAGAGAGACAGTGCTCAAAAAGTGCAAAAGTACTTGGGAGAAGTACAAGTAAGCAGCAGACACTGGCACCTCTGGCTGAGTAGGAAAGAAAAGAAAAAACAGTGGAGATGAGAAGCCGTCACTCCATTTACTGGGCATCCCTTCTGTAAAATTTAATATCCAACTGAAAGACTACAGCTGCAATTTGTTGGGAGCTAAACAAGTTTTGAGCATGAAGGTCCTTGTACATGCTCGTTGTACAGTTAGTATTTACATCTTTATTCTGCATTTTGAAAAGAGTGACATTGTTGCCTACCTTCTTTGGCTTTGCTTTTCTATTTTTCTGGAAAAAAGGAATTATTTTTTTTCCCCACAATGCTGCAATTAATTCAATCATAGCTGTTCACCACAGAAAAAAGAACTGAATATCCTCTGGAAAAGAAACAGACCTCCCCCCACCCCCGTCTGCTCTCCCATTTTATTTCTTTCTCTTTTTCTCCCTTTATTTCCTACCAGAAAAGTTTTTTTCAACAATTCAACTTTACATTATTTTCTGAATTCCATGTACATTTCAGCATCTCTAGCTGGACTAATTCAATAGTACAATACTACAATTAAACAAAGTATGAGAAAAGTTCAAATGAATTCATGCCTAAAGAATGACTAAATCTTACTGTGCTTAGTCCTACAAGCTTCTCAGTTGCCTCAGAGTAAGAACCTAGGAGCCCAGAGTCCCATGTTGACTACTTTGTCAGTACAGAATTTTACAGTGTGTACATTTAATCAAACAAACAAACAAGCAAGCAAACAGCAACAACAAAATTAGGGTAGTCTTATGGTCCTACAATAGCATTTTGAAGCTCAGAATGGGAAGACAGCTTACATAGCTTACACTGTGTTTTTAGTATTCATTTGCTTACAGTGTTAGTTGAGTTTCCATTTAAATGTAAGCCACTGTCAAAGAGAGGTGATGAAGCTCCACTGCTGTGATCACTGGATGGTCCAGGGGAACCTGGAAATCAGACCATGGAAAATAATTGCTTATGTTAAAAATATATGTATATATCAGGCAATATCTATTCCAACTGTAAAACACAGGAATAATTTTTACTATAAATCACCAAACCAAGACAGAAGTACTACTTGTATTTTAGAATGACAGCCAATAAAATGTCCATATGCTACACTTTATGTCTAGAACGAAAAACGTAGCTAGATATCATTTTATAGAGGCTGTGCTCATGGGAACGACTTGTATGCTTAACTGTTTGCAGGATTAAGTCTTTTTTCACAGAGAATGAGAATTCAGTAAGAATCCAGCTACACAAATCCCATTAATTTAATAAATAATTTTCCTACTGAGTCATGAAGGTCTCACCTTAGAGTATTACCATGGACTGTATTTATAAACAAACCTAATTAGAAACTGTCAGGCAAGCACTAAGTGTACACATACATACACTTTATTAATGGATATATCTTTTTCTTAAAATGCGAATTATTTTCAAGAATGATTCACCTTCTCAAACTGAGAAATTAAGAGCAAACAGTCATCTTGAGATGTTGATACTATGTTCTTCAAGTAATCTCTTCCTTTAGCAGTTATGCATCACAATCTTGCTTTAGTAGTTAGTGACTCCAGGAAAGCTTAATACTTTTGTAACATACAATAATGGAAAGACCACAAAGTCACATCATTGTGTAATTTCTGCTTTAATGTAAATTGTTAACATATAGCAACCAATAATACACAATTACTGTCAGACAGCACTTGGTCTTATCAATGAAGCACATAAAATCAATTTCACAGCATCATATTAATCATCACTGAAAACTCATTTTTCCATCTGAAGAAGTCACCTTAAATTGCCTGTAAATCATTTCACATTAATAGGTCTGTCAAGCCTAACACCACAAAAGCTAAAAAGCCATTCTTAGTCCTTGATTTTTGTATGTATCTATTCCACATATCTTGAAGATTTAGCAAAATGTAACTTCATTCAACAAAAGCTCCTTTTCTCCATAACAAAGCTCTGTCAGTTCAGTGCTGAGGTCTCAGAATTATATCCTGAATTCTGAAGTTTCAGCATGTTTGCATTTGGAGTCTTTCTGTACAGTGTTACATGATGCTGGCAGAAGAAACCGTTACACTTTGCTTGTATGGGTCTAACCCAAGCACTGACTCTAACAGCTAGCTAAATTTTGTAGCTACTATATATGTACAGCAGATCAGAAAAATCTATGTCGAGACTCATAGATGACCACAGCGACTTGCTGGAACAGAAAATAATTTCTAATTTTTAAAAATAAAAATACTGAAATAAAAAGGTTGGCATTAAATTCTCCAGTGAAAAGTCTGCCTGTTGGGCAATCCCACTGTCTTGAGCAGTAGACAACCATGACAGCTCCATGAGTCAATCAGATTCTTAAAGTGGAACTATCCCACCTCTTAAGCAATTTAAGCATATCAAAAGACATGAACTTAGGTATTTTCAAATCTCTAAATCCAGGTTTTACCATAATACAAAATACTACAATGGAATATTTTTTTTTTTTTTTTTTTAAGTAAAGAAAGCTGACAACCACTGCATGGGAAAACTAAGAATAAAAATTTAAGGAACAAATTTCTCTCCTCCCACAGTGTCCCTGCAGATTTGCTTTTCAGTTCAGCATCCTTCTTTGGTTTTCTGAGTCACAACAAACTACACAGCTTCTCTCAGGCTATGCCACCTCCACCACTTGGTTGGAAGCAACTTCACTAGTCTTTTAGTCTGCTTCCTGCCTATTCTGCCTCAGTCACTCATGGACTACTTCACAGCCTCATTTAGCATTTTAGAAGCTCCCATTGTATATGCTCAATTGCTTTCATGGAACGTGCAGTACTCTCATCTCTCCAAGGAGCTCTGTTTGCCTCCCCACATGGCAGCCCTAGAGCAATCAGGTAGCCTTTCCTCCCTGTTCTTAGAACAAAACACAGTATGTACGCATACATGATATACATGGTACAAAACACAGTAACACAAAGTGAATTTTGTACTATCTGCTACTACCTTTGGCCAAGTAGATGAGACTCCTAACACTTGGAACATTAGTTTGAGAAAACTATCAAAACAAAGTGTTTACATAAAATAAAACATCTACTACACATAACTCCCCATTCTATTGTCATAGTGCAGTATCCTGATGGGTACTGATGCCAGAAAAAAGGTATTTGGTATGTTGTGAGATTTCCAGAAATCATTATTGCCTAGGTGTCCTCTTATCCCACCCAAATCATAGTTAGATAGTCAGCCTATGAGAAATGCAAACCTGCACTAAGACAGGCTTAATCTGTTTAATTTCCTTATTCTCATTTGCAGCATTTTTTGTTCTTTTGAGAAGTCTGGGTCAGGAGCGATCCTGTGGGAGAGGAGATCTTTGCCTGATCTTTACCTGGTATGCTCAGAAAGAAAAAAAAAACCCACCCTGTAAGGTGGGAAGGGGTCAGAGACAGAGAGAGAGAGAGTGTGAGAGAGCGCAACGATATAGGAGCCTGCAGTTCACAAAAGAGACTGAGATGCCCCTGGGGGCAGCAGGAAAAAGACAGGAAGAACTCCGAGGTGAGGGAAACAAACTTTGTCAGGGTCACAGGCGGTTTTGCAGAGCTAGCAGTAACTCAGGAAATCACCAAGCTAGCTGACACTAAACCTAAAGCAAGAACTCATTTGCAGTGGTATAGGTAGGAGTTTATAAATTATTTTATATTCCTTTTTAACAGAATCACTGACATTTTTCAAGTTAAAAAGTTAGGTATTCTACTAATTATTTTCATAAAGCCTGCATTTTATTTTTAACTTTGAAAGCCTTAAGCTTTCTAGACCTAGAAAGGTCTCCACTAAAGTTCTGGTCAACTCAGAGTCCCATCAACAGGTGGTTGTTTATTTCAGTCAGTGATTTACGCTAAATCTCTAAATAACAAACAAAACTCCCAAAAGCCAGTACAGCAGATCTATGTACAGCAAGTAGTCAGCAAGACTTTACAATTTGTCTTATGATCAACATTGTTGAATGATACTGAAGACCCCTTGTATATAAATAAAATTTCACTTATCTAGCCTGCTAATTATGTCATAGACAACCTCCAATAGACAAAAAGCCCACTCCGGAACAACAACAAAACTAAAATCAAAGTAAACACTCTTGGTGATTTTTAATTACACTGCAAGCTTTTCAACTTCAGAATATTCTGATAATTTGGTATAACCATAAAAAAGAAAAAAACTCTGAAGAGAGCCTGTTTTAGCATAGAATGTTCCGGAAATCTTCCCAGCAGCAGTGAATCTTATCTAAAAGGGTCCTACAAGCCCTGGTCAACTCTGGGATGGGTAACAGACTTAGCTCCAGAGATTCCTTAATGACAATACCCAAAAAACGATGCCATAATTACTCTGTAACAGGCTAACAAATAACACTTATAGCCACTAATAACTTCCTGATCCAGCTCCAAAAAAACAAGTCCTTGTCTCATCCTTAAATGCCAGTTAAGGATGTGTAAACCCATGCCAAATCCTGTATTTGTTGTTCACAATCCATGAATTAGTGAAGCAACCAGAAAAATCTGGTGTGAACTGTAGGCAGGTATTTCCCTGTTGTGACATGTTGTGCTTTTGATAGCCATGGCATAAGATAGCATAGGGAAGGAAGAGGTTTGAGAATGAAGCAGTGGAGGCAGATGCTACTCCTGATGATGCACTTTACAAGAAAAAGTTGTAATACTAACTAACAGGAAGAGACAGTATGGTTGCATTTAATGTGAACATACCACAGTACTAAAACTGCCAGCATAGCAGCTTGTCTGACTGAACGCTTGAAGATAGGGGACTACATGCCTGAGTCCTCTGGAATGCTAGAAAAGGCCAATATACTTCAGATTTATGCATGTATGTACTTAAATCTTGCCTGCAGTGTGAGTTGGGAAGTCCTTTATTGTATAGTAGAATTGCTTCTTAGCTTGTTTTATGTGTCACTGATGCTTCATGACTGGAATTCCCTTTTGACCATGGGCTTGTGAAAAGCTCTTCTTGAAGTGGGGTGCTTTGTCCCACCATTGCTATTCTCCTTAATTTCAGCATATGGTCCTAAACCAGACCTATCTTCCATAATTTTCTACACCTTATTCCCTTATCACAAGAATGAGTATTTATGTCAAGTCACTTACCAAAGATCATCTGACTCATGGAGTTCGGTTTCGGCCTGTATTGGATGGCTGCACAGAACATCCTGGAGAGGAGCAGGTAAGCTCTGTGCTTAGGTCAAGGTTCAGTTCAGAAGAAGGGTCATTTCTTAAGTTCCTCAGCTGTCTGATCACACTTAGCAAGTCCTTTTGTTAAGCATACACTATAGGACTGAAAGCATGGGATCATGCACGGCACTGGGCAGGCTAGTTTAATGTTTGACAAATATTTCCTCATGCTCTGCATAAAGGAGGCAAGTCTAATAAGCTGCCCAAAATAAGCAGTTTGTATTTGTGGTGGTTTGGTGTCTGGCGGGGTT